AAACTTTTGCTCAAAAGTTTGGAAGATGTCGAAACTTTCGTGCCTGCACGCAGGCGTGATGTCGAAAAAATGTCCAAAAGTTTGGAAAGAAATCTGGCCCAAACATTTGGACGCGTTAGCGTCGAAAGTTTTGAGGGTACTTTCGACACATGTCAAAACCTTTCTGCGGAAGCGCGTGGGAGCTGCAAGTGTCAAACCACGAGCTCCCTTCGCAGCAGGAGGTCAGCTAGGGTTGTCTTGGGTGATGTCTGGCCGTAGAAAGCGGCCCGCTCCAGCAGAGTCGGCGGCCTGTCCTCGCCCGCCGGCACGCCTGAGGCACACAACAACAACCGCTGAGGTTGTGGAGAAGAAGCTGCTCGTTGCGCTGGTGGCTACTGCTTTTGTTGTCGCGGCGACGGTCTTTCACGCCCTAAACCCCAAGGCAAAGGCACGGCTACCTGTCCATGAGCCGCGGCGCTTGGACTGGGACGAGCATGTGAGAGACTTGAGGCGCCGGAAGGTTTTCAGACGCATGTATCGCATGGACGAGGGCTGCTTCGACAAGCTTGCCGACCTGCTACGACCAATCCTTGAGCGCAACGACTTCTACGCAAGTGAGTGAGAGGAGCGACGGAGAGAGAGACATAGGGTTAGGGTTAGGGACAGAGAGAAAGGGAGAGAGAGGGTGAGAGAGAGAGAGAGAGAGAGAGCGCCCGCTTCACTGCTGTGTTCTGCGATGTTTGAAGCTGAGGTCCATGCTGTGTTGCTGCCTGTCTCATGGTGATGCTTCCCGGACAAACTTTTACTTTTGGTGCAACACAGCACCTCCACGACCCTGGAACAAATTATCAACGCACACCATCACTTCGCCGCCCGCTTGACACTTCGCGACAAATGGGTATCTTATGCTAGCTGTGGTGCTGCCATTGTTTGTACATTGCTTCATGGGTTACAGGGAAGCGCACGCGCCACGGAGCTGTGCCGGTAAAACATCGTCTCGCGGTTGCTTTGCGGATTCTAGCGGGGGCATCATATATGGATGTAGCGGTGCTGTTCGGCATCGCCAAGGAGACTGTCTTTCACGTCCTCTGGGAGGTGGTGGATGCTATTAACAACACGCCGGAAGTCGGACCGTTCTTCTTCCCTCAAACAGTGGAGGAATGCGCCCGGCAAGCGAAGGAGTGGGAGGTGTGTATAGGCGTTTAATGTGTGTGTGGTGTGGTGTGTGTGGTGTCTTTCGTGGGGAACGAACGTTGGTGCCGCTCCTCCTCCTCCCGGGTGGCTTCGCTTCCGCCCACCCCACCCTCCATCCTTGTTCCGGTGGGGTTCTTTCCTCTCGCCGCCCATAAAACTCTCCTCTAAGCGCCCGTACTATGGGCCTTCCTGTGTAAGTCTACGCCGTACATTGAATGAACGTCTCATGACTGCGTCGGGCATACCCAACTACTGCTGCTGGTAGTAGTCACAAGACCCCCTCTTGAGTGTTCCATGTGTTGGATAGACACAAGCCTGGTGAAACAGCTTCTTTCCCGGTGAACGCAGAAAAAAAGATCGGGGCATGCATGGATCGATTTTGTAAAAAATAATGCTCGTGTCCTTTCTGGGCGGGCAGCAACATACACACTGCTGCTGTGTACGCTCGGCCCCCCTCTCGTTACTATGCAGATCAACAACCATACGGAGACCCTCCGAAAAACGAAAGAACGTGTGCCCATTCAAATGTCTATTCAGGCGGGGGTAGCTCATGCACGAAGCGTCTAGCGCTCTTTGGGTGTGTGCGTGGGATAATAATTGGAGACCTAAAAATGTTAGCTGGAAAATGTTCTAAGGATCGCTGATGGCCCTCGCCCCATCTTCCGCCTCCGCCGACTCTCTTGTCGCCCCTTGCCGACATCGTTGTTTCCGCAACACCCATGTGTTCCTGGCAGGCGAAAAGCACCGGCGGCGCAATCTCCGGTTGTGTCGCTGCCGGGGACGGCTTGTTCGTTAAGACGATCGCTCCGTCTCCGGTCGACACCCCCAACGTGCTCTCCTACTTTTCTGGGAACAAGAGCGGGTACGGGTTGAACATCCAGGCGACGTGCGATGCGAACTACCGTTTTTGCAGTATGTCCGCCATTTCGGCGGGCGCGACGAACGACTGGACGGCATGGAATCGTTCGGAGCTATCACGCGCGGTCGCGCGCCTACCGCCTGGGTACTACATGTTGGGCGATGCGGCATACCCTCTCAGCGATCAACTCCTCACGCCGTACCCGGGGAAGTTGCTGCCACGAGACCAAGACGCTTACAACTTCTACCTGAGTCAACTGCGAGTGAAGATCGAGCAAGCTTTCGGTATCCTCGTTGGGCAGTGGGGGATTTTGTGGAGACCACTGCGGGTTCAGTTCGCCGGTCGCAGCGCCCTCATCACCGCCCTCTTTCGTCTCCACAACTACCTGCGCGACGAGCAAGTGACGCCGGTGCACCTGACAGAGGAAGACGGGGAGTCCGGTCGCGACCGTCCCGCCTTGACGACAGAGAGGACGCTGCCGGAAAGTTTCCAAACGTCCGGCGACAGTCTGCCGAAGCCAACCAGGTCGGGAGACGTTCCCACCCGCATGGCGCTGAGAATGCTGCTGGACAACAGGCGACAATACCGCCCCGAGTACAACCGGGAGCGCAACAACGCACGGGACTCGTGAAGAGCTGTCAGTTTGCGGCTGGGTGCGGGCTGAAGCCACGCTGCATTGCGTGCCTGGAAGGGAGGGCGTCCGAAAGGAGGGAGAGCAAAGCTGGAACAGATGAAGGCGGGGGGAGCAGCGTGCCACGGACGGCGTGGTTGGAGGGGCGTGAGAGAGGGCAAGGGTGGGGCGGTCGGGTGCTGGGGGGGTTGAGGGGGCTGTGTGTATTCGCCTGTCTTTCGAAGCACCGGGCTGTGGGCGGCCGTGTTTCTCGGGTGTGTTATTCAAATGGCGTGCGTGTGTTGTGTTGCTGTTTTTCGTTTGCTGCTGTGCGTACTTCTCATGTTGTCGGTTTATAGCGTTTTCCCACGCAATGAACGTGGGCCAAACCCCACTAGTGTACCCTTCGATCTTCCAGGATTCGTATGCTTGAAGCGTCGTTGTGAGACGTGCGCAAGTAACGGGCGTGCAGAGAGAAAACACTCCGCCGCCGGTTTTTCTTATTTTTTATTTTGGTACTCTTTAATATTACGGGTTTAAGGCAAAGACAACTAGAAGAACAAAACTACATGCAAACTACATGCCGAAGTCTCAACCATAGTACGTCGCCCCATCCTCGCTAGCCGTCCAACCATGGCCAACACGCCTCGCGCGGTATACCCTGTACCCTCGCGTCGGACCAACGACGTTAAGACGAAAGACAAAAAAAAAACACCGAACAACCTGCATGTAGGAATCGAGACGGTGAAATATACGAGAATCACTGAATCAACCAATGTCAAATAGACGATGAGAGAACACAAATAAGCGGAACATGCACTTCGAAGGGAGGAAAAAATCACCGGCCAACCATTGGTGTACCGACACAGTGAAAGACACAAGAATCACCGAATCAACCATGTTGACAGAAAGAGAGCACAAAATAATGGGACGCACGCACCCCGTCGGGAGACACAGATAGCCACATTTCCCTCCCCTTGGTGAGTACTGCAGCTCCAAATGGTTCAACAGCCCCAGAACACTATGAAACGACAGCAGCTCCGTCGCAGGCAGCTCCCGCTACGTGAACAGATGACGCTGGGAAAATGGCAACAAGCCGCCGCAGAACGTGATCAGACCAACAACCACGCGACAGTGGTAAACACGACCAAAAAAAAAAAAACAACAACAACAAAATGCGGGTCCCGCACAACGTGACACGTCATATCTACTAGTCGAAAGCAAGAACAACATGGGGAACGACACCCCTTTACTCCTGTAACGCAAACACTCGCTACAACCGATTGAAGAAGAGTGATGGTGAAGCGCCACAACAAAGACCCCGCATTTTCTCCGAGAGAGAGATAGATGTTGTGCATCGAAACGCTTCACCAAGGAAGGATTGGAAATAGGCGGACCAGGAAAAAAAAAATGTTGCGAGCATATTTACGCCAAATACCCTGCCCCCGGGGCCAAAACTGAAACAAAACACAATAACAATGCAATTCAATGACAAACAGCCAACGAAGAATACTCAAAGTGCATATGTGAGCGAAGAGGCCGGCACAAGACCCGACCAAACGTACACCGTCACATGTCATACAGCACAAAGAACCAGCACAGCCGCAACAGAGTAGCGCTACTCGCCCACTAACCGATACCGTCCTCCCGCGCACCACGCACCCACGCGGGCACCGGCTACCTACCGCGCACGGTCGCATCCCCTAATCCTCACTACCTCCGGGTGTCGACAGCAACTCAAAAAGCTGGGCCCTTACGGACGAATGCTGCATTCGTAACAGCTCTAGGTCTTCCTTGTTAGCGGCATCCCCCCGCGCCTCCTCAACCCGAATATCCTCCTTGATTTCCTTGAGCTCTTTGCGGAGCTTGGTGCGTAGGTCGGTTTTCGCCGCCTTGCTTTCTATCCCGTCCTTGGTCTCGTAATATGATGTTGGAGCGTCTGTGTACGCGGGCCCGGAGGACGTGCCCAGCCCGAGTGTGGGTAACATCGTCTCCATCGCGGCCTTCGCCGTACTCGCAATCATATCCGCCTGCCTCTTCTGCTTCTTATCCCGGCCGCTCACGGCCGCGTTCCTCTCCTTCGACTCTACCTTGGCGGCCTTCCGCTTACCGGCGTCCGCGGCAGCACCGTCGGTGCCGCTCTTCTTGTCTCCCGCCCTCTCCACCCCCGTGTTCTCGCTCGCGGTGCCATCCGGGAGCATCTGGTCGCAGACCGCCAGGATGTCAGGGCACTTATCCGTAGTCAGCCCAAAGTAGTACGTGTCCAAGCTTTCTGTATTTTGTGGGGAGATTTGCGAAGGGTGGGCGGGAGGGGGGGAGGACACGGTGAGAATGCACCTCCCTCGTTGTCAACGTTCAATCAAAAACGTCCAGAGAGTCTTTGGCTTCAGCTTAGGCGTTGGCGTAACGCTCGATGCTTACAATAACATGGTGTACATGTGATGGAACGCCCCCCCCCCCATTGGGAGGAGGGAGAGGACACACGCAACAGTAATGTACACACGCGCGCTCGTACATTGAAGCGACGTCTTCAGAATCACCTCGGCTACCCGCCAACATGAACAAGGCACCGATGTTGATGCACGACAGAGACAAAATTAGGGGCGGACTACTGTATCCGACTCACCCTTGCAAAAAGAGTACATCTCTGCATTGCTCCCGGACTTTTTGTAGTTGGAGTACATCTCCCCGTGGTCCTTGAACAACTCCGTCCTCATCGTCGTGAACTTCTGAAAGGTGATGTCCGGCTGATGTACGGTGTTGGGGTTGATGCCGGCCCCAACGATGTGGTGGTCGTCTGCGAAGGAACTGGGCACCTGCAGAGTTGTTGACAGAAACCAAGCAAGAGGGGGGTCGGAGTAATGAACGGGGTGGCGCATGTGCATGTGGGGGGGGGTTAGGGGGGTCGTAGCCTTCCCTTCTTGTTTCTTCCTTTTTTTCCCATGTTCGCCGAAGGCGTTCACCAAATGAATACGCCCACCACCCCTTCGGCACAGCAAGGAAACAACATTCAGCCCCCTCCTCAGGAAATTGACAACACCAATGCTTTTCGACGTACGAAGGTTGTTGTTATTATGTCCACACAAAAGTACACGACAAAAAAAAAAAGTCTATCCAGTAACTCCTCGTGCCACTACTCATCAGTAAGAATCCAACGCTTGACGTTGCGTAGCCACGGGCCTTCTCTCCTCGACAGAAAGGTGTGCCCATAATAAATGGATCCCAAGGGTCGGCAGAGCGATCAAGTCCAAGAAACAAGGAACAGAATCAACACTCGGCTTCCATCGACACGCTAGTCTATACGATTGCTGTACGCTAGCCCAAAAAAAAACGCAAACAGAGGCAAAAAAAAAACAAACGGAACAAAACGAAAAAAAAAACGCAACTCCAACAGACGGGAACCGACCCTCCGGTACAAGGGAAGCAGACAAACGACTGACCAAAAGAGGCGGGGGTACATGCCGGAAAAGCCAAACAAAAACACTACAACTAGCGATTCCAAAAAAGAACAGTCCCCAACCCGCAATTCGGCGCCACCACAAAGCACTGTGGCCCGCACGATCAACACCACCGCAGCAGCAGTCCCGAGGAAAAAACAAAAGGGCCAGAACAAAATGGAGGTAAACACCTCACCTCGAAACTCTCATCCTTGAACGCCTCCCACAGCTCGAGATGAATATCCCGATTCGTCCCCGTCTGCTTGGCGTCGAGCTCCCTCCTGCTCAGCTGCGTCCTACTCTCGCAGAACCTCTTCCTGAACTGCTGGTGCATCAGTAGCTCACAGAAGCGAGGTACGCAGTGCTTGCTCTTCCTCCGTTGTCCGATGCTGCTGCTGTTGTCAGCCCCATTCTGCCTATCTTCCTCCTTCATCGCCTCCATGATGGCGGCAGCCGTGTACGACTTGTCGCCGCAGTCGTACATCTTCGTCGGCGCGGGGGAGGCGCCGGCGTTGATTGCAGCACGTAGCGCCGCAATGAGGTGCTGTGGAACTCGCTGCGCCTCCGCCGCCGAGGCTGGTGGCTTCGAGGGTGCCGTTCCGCCTGACAACATTGACAGCGCGAGTGAACGAGGATGGGCAGGGTCGTGCCGGCGAAGGTACGATCGCGAATTATTTTTTGGTAATCTAGTCGTGTTGACTATAATTGTCTGATACGAACTACAGAGGAAACCCAACGAAGTACAGTATTGATTGTAATCGTACTGTGCCCAAAGAACACAGAAACGTGGGTACCGTGCGTCGCTCTCCTCTTTTACATTATTATGATGTGACACCTCAACATAGAGAACGGCGCGGCTCTTCATCAGCATGTTGGAGCTTCTTGTTCACACCTAAGCTACCTCACTTATACTCGCTGACTCGTCGTAGGTCGTACGGACGTACCTACACGTGCATGGATCAGAGTTGCAAGCATCGACGCCGGTCCTCCCTCTCACACCCACCCTCCAAAAGAAACGACTCCATCTGTCTGTTTACGGTTTTGTTCCCACCCCTCTGTCGAAGGCCCCTAGCATACTCACGCTTTTCAATGGTAAAAGTTGTCTACCATGCAAGTGAACAACTTAACTACCCAGGGAACTCCACAAGTGCCATAAAAGCATTGTTGTGCGAGAAGAGGCTCGTACCTACATCGCAACAGCAGTGTCGTAGTGTCTTCGTATGTATAATAAGTCTACACCCGAAAAAAAGGCGTGCGGAATATGTTCTCTGCTTCGTTGGTGTGCACCTACCTGTTGCCCTGTCTTCCAAATCATCGAAGTACGGGCTGTCCCTTTCCATGACCACGTCCAGCTGCGTCAGCGCCTTAGCCATGGCGGTCGTATCTGACGACCTCGAGTACCCGCTGATCTTCCGCAGTCCGCAGGCCTCCTTGAGCAGGTACGCCGCCCACTGGTCGTAGCTCCTGCCGCGGTGACGCTTCAGCGATTGTTGGAACTGTCTGAGCCTTTGCGCCCCCGCTTCGACGGGGGAGCTGCTGCGAGATCCGCTCGATCCGCTCGACCGGCCCGCACCCGCTCCGCCTGCTACCTTGCCGAGGACCCGACCCTGACGAGGGTTATGAAGACTAAATTCCTCGCTGTCGCTGTCTTCGTTGGTGCTGCCGCCATCGTCGTTGCCGCCGCCGCCCTCCACGTCGGCATCGCTTGCTGCTTTTTCTTCGGACCCGGTGTCGGAACAAAAACGGGAGTCAATCATGATGGCTTGCACTTCAGCATCGAGGTGCTGCTCCCCCTCCAGCGCCTTGCCTTTTCCCTTGCCCGACGAGGCACGGACGGTGGGCGCCACCCGACCGGAGCTGACAGCTCCGCCCTCGCTCTGGTTGTTGGTGGCGACAGCGACCCCCCTGGTCGAACGAGACGCGGTGAAGCCAGGGAGGAGACTCGCGGTGGGCGCCAGCCCACCGCCGCCTACAGCGGCGCCGAGAGACCCGTTGTTGTTGTATTTCGCCGGGGGTTTGGTCTGTCGACCACTGTGGGTTTTCGTGGGCTCCGCATTGGTCGCCATGGCTGGTGTTTTCCGCGTTGTGTAGGGTGTTGTGGGGGCGGTTTGGTGTTGAGTGCAGCTCCTCAGCACGGACGGCGTGCATTTTTGTATTTTTGAACACTTGCACGTCACAGCAGGTTTGAAATGAATCTTGGAGGTGTCCAAAGTTTCGATCCAAAGTTGTCCAAACTTTGGAGCCAAAGTTTTGAATCTTTGAGCGTGTTTAAAACGGCCCTAAGAAAAAAAAAAACTGGGCCCTACGGCCGCATCCGAATCTCCGCTGTACTTGTCTAAGGGCAACTTCATCTTGCGCGTACTCTGGTCTAGCTCCAGCTGCACACAGTAGTAGTCGTATAGGTGGCGAGTGTCCTTCTGAGATTGTTGATTGATCAGCCCTCCAATCCACCCTATGCCCAGCCTAACGAGCACTCCACGCCGCAAAAGCAATCTGTCAAGAGCAACGGGTTTAGCTTGTTGAATACGAAAGGCTGCCGGGATCTCCATTCGCTGTATCTCATCCTCCGGGTCTTGTGGGTCCATGCTGTCGTCGTCGTCCAGAAGAGCTAGCTGGTCGGTCTGGGGTTTAGAGATGTCCGCGAACGAGGCAACGGGAAACACAAGAAGTTAGGGTGTCACGTCGCCAAACTCAACCTGAACTTATCATAATTTGAGTGCAGCCGTGCGCGGAAACACGCTAACGTCACCATGAAGGACATCGTCATCAACCAAAAGTAGATGAAGAGTTGGTTTTGTGCAAAACAAACTTACCGCCGTCGTCTTCATCGCTGGAGTCAACGCCCTCCATGAGCGTCTCACGTCCTCCATCGCCCTCCTCCGTCCTGCCCTCAGGCTCATCGTTGCCGTTCTCCGAACCTTGTTCGTCGTCGCTACTGTCTTCATCGCTAGCGAAGTNGGAGTCAACGCCCTCCATGAGCGTCTCACGTCCTCCATCGCCCTCCTCCGTCCTGCCCTCAGGCTCATCGTTGCCGTTCTCCGAACCTTGTTCGTCGTCGCTACTGTCTTCATCGCTAGCGAAGTTATACGGCTTGTCCAAACCTTCCAAGGTGATTCGATCATCGCCCGANTACGCCTGTTGGCTGTCGAGTCTTGCCATGGCCGCTCCCATCCACTGAGTGATCAGGACGCGCCGATCAGAAGCTGTCAGCGACGCGGTTTCCCACCTCTCGAGGTTGTCCGACTGCTCGAGCCATATGTCCATCTGCCTCCCGACTTCCACCTTGAGAAATTGTCCGGCTCCTGAATCAACTGGCTGCACCTCGTCCGTCGGTGCACTCCGAAGGGCCATTCCAGGCGAGAGAGTTGCAGTGCTTCGCAAGATACTCCTTGAACTCGTCCGTGGTCTGAGCGTGCAAGTTGTCCATGACAAGAATGGACCTCGCCTTGGGGAGCTCACCCCGCCCGCGCATCACGCTTTTCTCGGGGGCACCCAGGGGCACGACGCGTGCGTACAATGCCCACCCTCCCTCCCTAAAAAAATACAAATGTTGATATGTGGGGTATGTACCCCTCCCAAATGCAATACTCTGTACTCTGGGATCACTCCCCCCTCTTCCCTCCCTCCCCCTGCGAGTATTCTTATCTGGCAGCGGCTGCATTGCTGTCGTTCTTATTTTTAGAAGCAGTTTTGCACCTCAGGTGTGTGTTCTTGTTCCTAACAGGGCGTGCAGCTGAGCACGTGTCCTTATCGGTACATTCTTATGTTTGGATATTTTTACCATCACGTTCTTAAGTGCCATATTCTTAAGTGCGGGCCGGCACTGTACGATCCTAAAGAATGGGGGCCTCATGCTCGCGTTAACGGTTGGAAGTGCGTAACCGTCGTGGTACAGAGCGGAGCACAAGATGCTCGCCCTATCAGGTGCGACGGATGCGTCGTCTGGCGGGTGGGGAGGATTAATCCGTAGCCCCGGATGTGAGACGTCAATAGCAGGGGGGGATTTTCCACCGGACATGGCTAGTAGCCACATTAACTTACAGGAAGGAGACGCGTTGCAGCAGACCCTACAGATGTACTGCGCAGATCGCTTGGACCAGATCGCAGGGTCGACCCTTATTTCGGATATTGACAATAAAGTGTTCCACGACGCGTTCAAGAGGGGTAGAGCAAAGAATACGCTTATGCATGGGATCATCGTCGATCTGTTCTGGCTCCAAGTGGAGTATGATTTCACGTATAGGTTGCGATGGGTCAATTCCGAAGCAAATGCTGAGGCTGACGCCTTATAAAGGCCTACGTCAGATGATTAGTCCACGTTCAATTAGACGAGGTAACATTTGGATCGCTATGGTCGTGGGCAGGAGGTTATGACATGGATCTGATTTCAACCCCGACGTCCGTGCAGAAGAAGTGGGTCGATGGTAGAGGTACGAAGGAAGCTCTGCCCTTCTACTCCCGTTACCGTACGCAGGGTTGCGCAGGGGTCGATGTTCTTACGCACAACGTAAAGTTCATGCCAGAGTCGTCGGTGGACTGCTTCGGTTTTTGTTTCCCACCGACAAACATGGTAGGAGTGATTCTGCAAACGAGCAGTAATCGTCGTTCCGGACCAGAAGCAGTCTTGGTTTCCCAGGCTAGTCCGAGCATTGGTGAAGTGTAGAACGTTATCGACCCCGACGGGTCCCTCTCCCTTCTTTCGCATACACCATCAACGCGCACGAGAACCATTTAGGTTTAAGAATTCAAACATGCTGGCTGTCGAGGTGAACTTCAGTAAAGCATCGAGTTAACACGTGGAATTCAAATGATTATTTTCAGGCTCTGCGGACTATTTTCGCTGTCCTGACCATGGTTCTGAACATCCTGAGGAGGATGCTAACCCCACGGAGCGAGACAAGGGGGCCGAAACAATCTCTTTCGCTCGTAAAAGTATCAGCTTCACGAGCAAGGGTTGTATGTCCTACAAGCCATGCTGAAAACGATGAGGGCTTCCGGTTTCGCCAAATGTGTGGCGAGACGGTTTCGGAGGGTAGAGTTTCCAAGAGCACCAACGCGCCAATGGATATTGACGAAGCAGCCATTCGCCACCGATTCCTACAGTTTCGAACTGCATGGGCAGAAACGGCATCTATGAAAAGTAGATCGGCAACTTTTGTGTTGTTCACCATTTTTTTTTTCTTATTTTTTTTGCCTTCCGACAATTGCAGATGTACCTCAGAAAACGTTCACTTGATGTCTCATACTCTACATGAATATTAAACCAATACGAAGTGCAACAACATATGTAGGACTTATTTCTACTGTCATTTACATCGTAAAAATATCTCCTCTTCAACTTGAAATAAAACCAATGGCAATCCTAGTGGTATCCTATATGCGTTCGTAAGCTTGCTAAAATACTATTCGATTCGCTCAGAACAAATCACATTTCAAAGATCGCGATGGTAATCGAGAAGGAACTGGGGGTAGTAACCCCATGGAGTAGCACCCTGCGGATTGGAAATCCAGTGCAAAGCGAGTTGGTAACTCAATACTTGGCGTTCACGACTGGGGAACAGAAACAGGCCGGGGTGTTGGTCAAGCAAGCACCGGCTATTCTCCATGGTCACTTAGAATCAATCGTGAGGTCTACGCGGACAAAGTTGAAATGCACGTCGTCGCTCCTGGAGCGAGTGACACTGGCTCGCGATATCGCGTTCTTCACGGTGGCTTAAAGTACCACTAAGAGGGGGGCAGAGCTGACAACAAGTACATTGATACAGCGCGTGCTCTGACTTCCGAACAACAGTGGGCTTCTGTTCAATTTCCAATGGGGGAAGACTTTGCGAGATGGTGCCGATCACCTAATTTCTGTACCATATGATGATGAATACGTGGCGGCATGCCCAGTTCGCGCGGTCGAACGGTGGGTAGCTGTGGGTCGAGCAGCAGGATGGGACAAGACGTGCGGATACTTGTTTTGCGAGATTTCCGCCAAGTAGAGCGGGAAGCCGCAATGATGTCGACGAAGTTGAAAGAGTACGCACGAGCGGCGGGAGAAACCCAGGACTTTCTCTGCATTCGTTTAGATCTGGGGGAGCCATCTCGAGAGCGTTAGCAGGAGATTCTTTGTCTACAATCATGCAAAATGCATGCTGGAAGAGTCCCAAAACAGCTTGGCGGTACATGAGATTAATGGTGGTGGTCGCCCCAGGATTGGAGGGGACTGGCATGGTGAAAGGCGTTACTTCAGACCAGTTTGCGAAATTCAACGAGTTCCCTCTTAGCGAGCAGAGTCGTTCATGGGCTGTGTTTAGCGGGAAGCCTTTGTTGTAACTTGTACATAAAATATGGCATGTCCCTCAGAGAGGGCCAAATGTTTCAAATATGAAGACATGCGTCTTTCAGAGTATGGGATAGAAGTATTAAATATTCTAGCTAAAGAAGCTGGAAGATTTAGAGCACAGGAAGAAGAAGTGGTTACTTACACCAGCCGTGGGAGGTGATGCCACTAGACATATCCCATACTAGTTGAGGAGAAGAACTGGCTCGAAAATACTGGTGTATTATTAGAACCAGAAATGGAAAAGATTAAAAAAAAATAGAATCTTTCCATACTTTGGAGAGCCAGGAGACACGCTCACTGTTAAAATGTGCACCCTGTTTCGAGAGGAAAACACGAATTGAAAACCGATCGGTGAACGCGACCACCCACCCACCCAGCTCTGAGATAGTTATTCTTTGAATACCATAAGTATGCATGCAAAGGAAATGAGTGATGGGAGGAGATGTTCAAACTCAGTCAAACACTCATTCCGCTGCCTACATACGAAGAAGTGGTTACACCTGCCTTTGCGGGAGGTGATGCCACTGAACATATCGCATACTATTTGAGGAGAAGAACTGCCTCGAAAATGCTGGCGAAATTTTTTTGCTGAACCGGATACCTCCGGAAAGGGTCCTGTTATAATATTCCGTCGAACCCTCAGTCTTTCCGCGTCGCGGTGGGAATTGCGCATGTTCATTGTTGTATAGTAGTTGAAGACGAGGTCGACTTCCGTTTTTGTCTTCGTCCATTTTCTGGGGCGCTTCGGCACGCACCGGTGGTCCTCTCTCGTCTCTACTGGTACTTGATCAGAACAAAGGTGACACTCAGCAAACAGCGAGCGGCTCCGGCGTCCTGTCACGAAGCCCCATAGAGCCGAAGGTGAGCCATGAGTAAGGAATGCAAATGACTTCAAGTTTAACGCCGGGTTTTTCACTAGACGCTACTACAAGCATCATTCGCAGTGCTGCTCAAGAGCAGCGAAACTCAGCAAATCGACGACGGAATGCTTCCAAATCCAGCACACAGGAGGGTGTTGTACCAGGTAACCGACCGTGTTCTTGGGTGACTGCTCCATTCTCGAATCCCTGGCTCTCCACTGGTATAGCAGAGGCTGAAAAAATAGGGTATCTGACACGTCCAGGGTTTACGCCAAAACGGTACAAATGCACTTCACAACACAGACAGCGGAAACGCAGAAGCCAATTGTACAGAGCATGTTCGTGAGTCTGCGAACATTGCTGTTGGATACATGTGCTGGATGATTTTGTGTCACGCAGACTGGTAAGATAACCGTTTGATAGGGGGCACCGCGATGATTCACGGGGCCCCTCCTTGCTGTGGGAGCCGCTCTTTGAGCACTCCCTCTTTCGTCCGTGTGAAGGACGGTCGTCTACCTCCCGTGAAGTTAATACATCACCAAAACAGTCTCACCCGATAAATAAGTGGCGTAGGCCGCAAACACTCTAGAGTTTGTCCCTCAAGGGAAGCCACATCGGGATGAGCTCTGCTGGAGACGAAGAGCGCGCTGCTGCGAGCGGAGAACAGATCCGCCCGCCGGTGCAGGAGGGCCGCGACGCGGAGCTTGCAAGTTTGCAACGGCAGATTTCGCAATTGGCGGCCCTGGTGGAGGAGTCGGTGAAGAAGAAGGAGCCTGGTAGCGTCGTGGCGGATGCAGCCAGTAGGGGTGGCTGGGTTGCTGCCCCCAGAGGCCAACGAGAAGAGCCCACGCTGCCGCTCGGCGGTGGCGGGGGATTTCTCCAGCAGCAAACGAGAGATAGTGGGCAAGGACCACGGTCGCTGCTGGAAGGCGGCTGGGCCAGCAGATCGGGAGCGAACCCTGTTGGACCAGCCGGAGTGGGCCCGGGCATAGGACCGGACTACGGGGAAGCGAGGGGGTTAAACCCCCCAGGTGAGATACCCGTGATTCGAGGGAATGGAGAATTCCTCGACGGCTACAGCAGTAGCCACCAGAAAAGGGTGACGGTCAATGCCCCGCTTCTAGACGGGAAAAGCCGTAGCCACGGATTTGATTCGTGGCGCAAGTCGTTCATCCAAGCTGCGAAGACCATCGACTTGGACGGGCTGTTTATAGGAGATGCAGAGAGCAGTATCCCCGTGGGCGACCCAAACTTGCCCACTTCCGAACTGCTCCGTAGGGGGTA